AGGCTAATAACCCTGAGTGTTTATGACTTTTTAACAAGTAACTGTTGTGTCCACATGACTCAAGATCAGAATCTAGAGTAGATTTTCAGGATCTTAGAAGCCCATACTGCCCCAGAAAAGTCAGGAGCGGATTTATAGGACCACTAGAGCGAGGCTTTGTTTGTACCTGAGCTGTAGCATGGGCAGTCAGTACGCCAGAGGGGACCCTCCCAGACTGACTCCAGGAGTGTGAGAGGAGCACTTCTTGTAGCCCCAGAAGGCCTGTAACTGTTGTAGACCTGAGCCTGTGGATTGGCCCAACCTGGTCTAAACTCAGGCCTTCTCATCTGAGGCTATTGATTGGTCCAAATTCAATTCCTCTGTGTGGTTTAAAACTGAGTTTGCGGCAGTCAGGGTGGACACCTTCTGGAGTGGGTCCAGGTGTCCAGGACAGCTGTGGCTGTCAGGACGGCAGTTAGGCAGAACATCAGGTGATGGGCTTTTTGATTGACAGCTGTCTTACCTCCATGAAAAATGGCGCGGCCAAGACTGGGGGATCTTCAGAGGGGCTAGGTGCATGAATCACAGCTTATTGCGGACTAGGGAAGTTGGGGATGTTGATAATGGGCACAGATGGCTGCTACATTAGGAGTGGTTTCCTTGCCATTTCTTCTGAGCATTGGGAGGGAGGGAAGAAAGGAGGGAGGGGCACCATGGATGACAGCAGAGTGGCACCTCCTGTCAGAGTGGCCTAGAGAGCCTGGTGGGTGGCAGGAGGACTCTGAAGCAAGCTCTCTCAGTCCCTCCTCAGGACTGTGAGGGAGTGGAAGGAATGGAGGCAGTGGGGCATGACAGCCCTTGACCTAGCCATGTCCTCCCCCAGCCTCCACAGGACAGGGGGGAGTCAGGAGCTTTTTGTCCCTCTCTCCCAGGCTGTACCATGTGCATTACAGGTTGCTTCTCACATCACTTGTCCTCTGTGCCCTCATGCCCTGGGACAGGGCTTCTGGGGACACGTTTCCTGGGATGTCGCTTCCAAGCCACCTCCCTTGTGTCTGTGAGCAGGTGCCGGTTTTCAGGCCTCTGCGAGCCCAGAGGAGTTACTCTGAATGGGATTTTCTGAGAACAACTTAATTATTAAATAAGGTCAGTGTCCTCAGCAGTCAGTCCAAACTCCAGCCAGCTTTCCCTTGGTCCCTAAATACACATCAAGATAGAGTAAATGTTTAAGGAGACACATTGGTTAATCCAGTGGCACTAGTTGTTGGGAGTTAAAAGGAGGACTGGGGTTTTTGGAGAACCCTGGAGAAATCTCTTAGACTGAGGATATTTTAAATATCACTCCTAGTATTCATAATAGTAATGGCAGTCAGATACTGAGTCACTAAACTGCTTAAACTTAGTTCTAGTAAATTTAATTTTTGCAGCAATCTAAGAGGTAAATAATATTGAAGCTCCCATAAGGGAGCTAAGGATCAGAGAAGGTAAGTCACTTATCTATGGTCACACAGCGCTGTTATAAAATCTGGTGCCAAACCCAGTCGTCCAAATCTGAAGTTCATCTCCTTCCCCAGTCTCCACTGCCAGCTTTCTCTTTTTTTCTTATCTTCCTTCTATTTTGATTCTCACCAAGTAGGGCATAAAAAGCAGCCAAGTTCCCTTACATCTACCAACTGGTCCTGAATACTTGTTCCCAGCCCAGTTTTGTTCTGACTTGTGTGATCTAAGATAAATGACTTGTCAGCCAATCCTTGGCTTTTTTTTTTTTTTTTTTGGCATGTCTCATGCAGAAGTTAGTGGTGAGCTGAGTCCTGGCTATAAGGATGCTGTGTGGGAACCCTGAAGAGAGGGGAGAGGTATGAGGGGTTGTCTTTAGCCCTGCTGTCTGGTGACATCATATAAAAAGCCCCACCTCAGTGTCCCTCACCTGTGGAAGTGTCACCCAGTGCTTGGGATCTGGTGACTTGTGTAGTCCTATGGCAGAATTCATTAACCCCCCAGGTTCACAGAGGCCTGAAAACTGGCACCTGCTCACAGATGCAAGGGAGGTGGCTTGGAAGCGACATCCCAGGAGACAGATGTCCGCAGGGCACAGAGGACAGGTGATGTGAGCAGGCAATCTGGAATGTACATGGCCTGGCCTGGGGAGAAATACCCCTAGCCTGGGAGAAACACCCCCAGGTATGCAGAGCAGCCTGGGAGGCCTGGGCTGAGCAGGAAAGGGCAGGGCCTAGCAGCTGGTGGACAGGCTGTTTAGGATGCCATGTTAGTCCCTAGGGGCACCCACCTCCTTCCTCCTGGCTCAGACCTGATTCCTGGCCCTGTTCCCTCCTTTCATTCAGGCTTTCTTTCTGTGGATTAAGGGAATGGGAACTAATTCTGAAAACAGAGCTATTTAGAAGGAACAGAGCCTCTAGTCTAAAGGAAATAGGGCTAGTGTGGTGGTACACACCTGTAATCCCAGCATTGGGGGGGCTGAGGCAGAAGGCTCATTGCAAGTTGGAGACCAGCCTGGGCTACAAAGTGAGCTCAGGGCCAGCCTGGACTGCATAGCGAGACCCTGTCTCAAATAAAATGAACAAAACAAAACAACCCCCCAAAAAACAACAACAACAAAAACCAACTATGGCCAGCAAGATAGCTCAGCAGACTAAGCACCTGCTTAGGCAAGCTCAGGGACTAGGGTTCAATCCCCGGCACCAATGCCACACTGGCCCTGCCCCTGGGTACACTGAACCAGCCACAGAGATGGGGCGTGGTGGAGCATGCCTGTAATCCTAGTGCTGGGGAGGATGAAACAGGAGTATCACTGCCCCAGGGTTCTGGAGCTGGCATGGCATGCAGTAGTAGGGATCAAGCACAGTCCTTGTGCTTGCCAGGCAGGTGTTTAGACCGCTGATCTATCTCCCCAGCCTGAGGGTCAGAGCTCTTATCAGGCTAAGACCAAGAATCTCTGAACTCTTCACTATTGAGTGTACACAGCTTTTCCAGGGAGTGTGTAGGGAGATCCCAAGAACAGAGGAATGGAGGGCAATGATGCCAGCAAGGTTGAGAAGAAACAAAGCGTTATGCCATTGATTAATGGGAAACTTGTCTTCGTATTTGCTTCTGTAGAATTTTGTACCAGAGTCCTCAGCTGAAATGCTGTCTTGCCTTCTGAGACTCACAGCGTCCTGGGTCATAGAGACCTCCACTGAGGCCAGTGGCAAGTGAGGATTGTTTCCTCATGCCAACTGCTGGCTTGTCAGGCTTGGCACGTAGGCCTAGGACAGCTCCAGACTTTTAATGTGGAAGGCCAGTTTATGGATTTGTAGCTCACTCAGGGTCAGCTCCATCAGTAGCACGCCTAACGTGGTGCCTGCCAGAGTGGCTGCTCGTGAGCTTTTGCTGCCGTTTGTTTGCCTGCCTCTACTGGACCACGGTGTACCCGAGTGCAGGATGGAAACCTTTTCTGCTGCACCCTCTCTTGAATCTGGCCAGGTTCTGAGGCAAAGCTGGCTCATTGTCTGCTCAGTGAATGAATGTACGAAAGGATGGGTTTTTCCTTGCTTGTTTCTGCAGGGCTTGGGATGGATCCCAGGGGGCTTGCACACACTAGGCAAGCGCTCTACCACTGAGCTAGATCCTTTTTTTTTTTTGTAATGTATTTGGTACAGGGTCTCACTACACAGCTCAGACTCTCAGTGATCCTCCTGTTTTTAGCCTCCCCAGTGCTGGGGTCACAGGCGTGCACTACCATGCCTGGACTCAGTTGCGGCTCAAAAGTGTGCCCTAGGGCAGTGTGAGCTAGGTCCGTAATCTGCTTCATTTTATTTTGTGATAAGGTCTTTCTAGGTTGTCCAGTCTGGCCTTGATCATTAGTTCTCCTGTCTTGCCCTCTTGGGGAAGCTGGACTTCAGGAAAGCATGGAGGAGCTGTGTGGGAGATGAGGCGGGTGCAGTCTTGAGGGCCTCAAGTGCTGTGATGGGGGTTAGATTCAGTGTATTTGGAATGGGCAAAGGTAGAAAGGGATGCAAAGTGGGGGTGTGGTTGAGGGATAGGACTGTTCCTGTAGGATTGGTTGGTACCGGGGATTGTGCAGGGAAAAAGTCGATTTCTGACCTGCGCCTTGAAGGGTGTGAAACATGGTCATGGTGTTACATTTTTATTTCACTCAGCAAATACTCTGTGTCAGCCGTTTGCTGAGTACCAGTGTTCACACAATAATGAGACAAACTTCCTACTCTAATGATTTTGATGGCCATAAGGAGTTTTATACAAAGGGTAGTCTGATGGTAGCACCCAAGTAGGGAAATTGGGGTCAGGGAAATCGTCAAAGAGGAAGTGGATTTTGAGCAATGAAAAGTTTTCTGGGTAGGTAAGATGAGGAAAGTGTCTTAGGCAAAGAGACCACCTTATGCAAAGCACACTTGAAGCAGCAGCCCCAGGGCTTTGGGGAGGCTGTGACTGGATTTTAAGTGTACTGTCGTTGAGCCGTAAAGCTGCAGAAGGGAGGAGGAACCAGATCATACAGGGTAATACAGTCAGCAGGAGTGCCTGGCAACAAGGGGCTAGAGATGGAGGCAGTGGGTATGTTAGCAAGGTCATTGCTAGTGAGTGTGTTAGTAAGGTCATTGCACCACCAGGTTAACAATGATGGTGGCATAAACTTAGGGGCTAAAAGAGCCTATCCCCATGTCATGTGTTCCCCATGACAGGTCTGGATGCTGCAGGATAGAGGACAGCTGGGGCTGCTGGTTGGAGCTTGAGCTGGAGAGGAAGTGGCAAAGGGAGGAGCCTTGTGAAGGATACAGTCCTCAGATATATCCTGGGCACTTACTATGTGACATGTTAAGGGCCTAGAATACACCAGGAAACAGCGTTCTTGCTTTCATAAGGCTAGAGCTGAGATCCTCTCTAGGCCGCTTCTTCCCTCCTTAAAGTTGGTCAGGGTATGGAGAGGAGAAAGACCTAGCAGTGGGGTTGCTGTTGGGGACAAGGAGGACACTAGGCTCCCAAATTCACTCTGGCCTCTTTCCCTGCTCCCTGCCCAGTCTTCCAGCCATGGCCACGGCAGCAGCCCAGAAGTTCAGCCACCTACTGTCTAGCCTGTGGCATGCTGGCCAGGAGTCTCTGCAGCCCAAGGCCGTTTTCACAGTGGACAGAGCCCAGGTGCCGCCCCTCTTCTGGAAGCCGTACGTCTATGCGGGCTACCGGCCGCTGCATCAGAGCTGGAGCTTTTACTTCCGCACGCTGTTCCAGCAACACAACGAGGCGGTGAACGTCTGGACACACCTGCTGGCCGCGCTGGGGCTGCTGCTGCGGCTAGCCATCTTTGTGGGGACCGTGGACTTCTGGGGAGACCCACATGCCCTGCCGCTCTTCATCATCGTCCTTACCTCCTTTACTTATCTCTCCTTCAGCTCCCTGGCGCACCTCCTGCAGGCCAAGTCCGAGTTCTGGCATTATAGCTTCTTCTTCTTGGACTACGTGGGTGTGGCTGTGTACCAGTTTGGCAGTGCCCTGGTGCACTTCTATTATGCCATTGAGCCGGCCTGGCACACGCAGATACAGGGCATTTTCCTGCCCACGGCTGCTTTTCTCGCCTGGCTTTCCTGCACTGGGTCCTGCTATAACAAATATACACAGCAGCCCGGTCTGCTGGGCCGCATTTGCCAGGAGGTACCCCAGGCACTGGCCTATGCCCTGGACATCAGCCCTGTGGTGCACCGCATCCTGATGTCTCCTCACCCTGCTGATGACCCTGCTCTTCTCTACCACAAGTGCCAGGTGGTCTTCTTTCTGCTGGCTGCTGCCTTCTTCTCTACCGTCATGCCTGAGCGCTGGTTCCCTGGCAGCTGCCACGTCTTTGGGCAGGGCCATCAAGTTTTCCACGTCTTCCTGGTGCTATGCACTCTGGCTCAGCTGGAAGCTGTGACACTGGATTACGAGGCCCGGCGGCCCATCTATGAGCCCCTGCATACCCGCTGTCCCCAAAATTTTTTTGGCCTCTTTTTGCTCACCATGGGCAGCAGTCTCCTCACCGCGTTCATTCTCAGCCAGCTTGTACGACGCAAGCTCAATCAGAAGACCAAGTGAGGGGGCATGGCAGCTAATAGGGAGGGTGGTGTAGTGGGGTCCAGGGTCTGGGGTCTGGGCCTAGCTCTAGATAGGAACAAGACCTGGCAACCTTGTGTCTGACCTGCACTGACTCCCTGCACACAGCTCAACTGCCAGGGTGTTGCTGTTTAGTCCTTGGACTTGGGGACTAGCTGCTGAAGTTAACTTGGGGCCTGCCCAGCTCCTTTTCCAGAAGAAAAGAGTGAAGGCTGTGGGCCACTGTGGCTTGTTCCTTTCCTGCCTCATGAAAGAAGAAGTCAGCTTGGCCTAGGACCCCAATTCAGGGCTTTCAGGTTGCCTGGGTAGAAGGTGAAAAACATAGGCCAGTCACATTTGAGCTGGAAGAAAGGGAGGCCTCAGGAGGCCACTTCGACCCCGACTGCATGATGGAAGGGCGAGGGCAGGCGCAAATACCGATGGGATCTTACATTCCTTGAGCCTGTACTGCCAAGCTCTGGAGAGCCCAAAAAAGTAGAAGATTGTGCCAGACAATCCCATTCAGTGCCCTGCATCCCTGCAGTCACCACCCAGCAGCTAGCCCCCCAGTCTCCTAGGCCTGGCTTGTGTCCTACACAGCTGTTCCCAGGTTCTTTCCCAGTTTGCTTGTTCATGATTCAACTGTTTGTTCAGTGTTTCCTAGGCCATGACTGGGCTCTGTGGATCAGTGCAAGATGACCAAACTTTCAATACCAGCATGAAACTACATTGGGAATAATCTATGCTGCCTGGGATTTGGGGCTGAGTGGAATGAATAGGAGTTTGCAGACAGATTAGGGTAGGGGAAACCTGTACAAAGGCCCAGAGGTACAGGGCTGGAGCCAGAGGTGGACTGGTCTCACCTACTGGAATATAATAAAGTGACTGTGACAACTACTGATTCTGTTTCCTGTCCCAGAAAGAGGAACCTACCTACCTACCTATAATATGTGGGGGATTTTCCAGAGGAAGCTGGGGCTCTTGGGGGTGGCCGCAGGGTTGGAGATAAGAGCAGCTCCTGTTATATCTTTGCCTGGTTGTGTATGTTTTAAAAATTTTATTTTTATTTTTAATTTAGTCTTTTGGTGGAACCAGGGATTGAACTCAGGCCCTTGCGCTTGCCAGGGAAGTACTTATTCTACTGAGCCATCTCTCCGGTCCAATTTTGTTTTTTATTTATTTTTTTCGCAGAACCAGGGATTGAACTCAGGCCCTTGTGCTTGCCAGGCAAGCGCTTATTGTACTGAGCCATCTCCCCAGCCCCTGGGTGTGAATTTGGGCCCTATATAGACAGATGTACACATATTTACATAAATGACATTTTTGGTAAGGAAGTGGGGGGGAGTTTTATGACTAAATTAAGTTTTAAAAGTAGTTACAAGAATATGTTTAAAAAATATATAATCCTATTTTTTAATTTGACAAAAAGATTTCAGTTTTTGTTTTTTCCTTCAGTCAAGGATTTTTATTTTTTTTATTATTTTTTTTGCTCCGAGTACCCTGACGGCAGGTTTGGCTGGCTTGAGTTGTGAGGATCGAACCACAGCAACCTAAGCCTGACTGCTTTGTTGGAGCAGCCACTTAACTGAGCTAAGGGGCAGGCCCCTAGTCAAGGATTTTTATATGTTAACATTTTTGATTTGTTTAGTTTTTCGAGACAGGGTCTTGTCACATAGTCTACACTGGCCTTTATTTTAAGCAGTGTCTCACTGTACTCCAGGCTGGCCTCGAACTCACACAGATCTTCCTGCCTCCCCAGTGCAGGGATTACAAGCATGCACCACTATGCCTAGCTAGGCTAGCCTTTATATGTAAATTTTTATAATAGTCCCTTTTCCACAGTACATAGCTATGTATGTACGATGAAAGAAAATTACAAAATAAAGGGAAAAAGCCCAAAATGAATACGTATCACTTCACTGCTAAAATACTGAGCCATATAATGTAATATATTAATACTTCATGTACAATAAAACATACAGTATATCAAACACACAGGCTGGGGATATAGCACAAGTGTGCTTGCCTAGCAAGTGCAAGGCCGTGGGTTCAGTAACAACACACACAGCACACACATCCACACACCACTGGAAATGGTGGTCAACCCTTTGCATTTCCAAAGGGATTCCAGAAGTTACAAAATACTTTCACACATGTTACCTCACTTGAGCTGTAGAATTCTGGAAGCACTGAAAGCAGGACTGAAGGCTATTTTAAGCCACAGTATTAAACACACCGGATCATGCCAAGTTGCTGGGGCCACAGGTGTGTGGCACCACATCCGGCAAAAATCTGATTCTTGATTCCCAAGTTCTTGCTTCCTGTTTTCGAAACTGTCTTCCCTATGACTTAGTAGTATTAGATTATTGCTGTTTTAATTACAAAAGTAGTTCACAAACCCAAGTGGTGTTGAGGACCCCAGCTCTAGATGTTGCTGAGGGTTCAGCTGTGACACTTTGTGCCCGGGTGTTTTTTTTTAAACATTTATTTATTTATTTTGTGTGTGTGTGTGTGTGTGTGACCGGGGGCGGGGCTGGCTGGCATGTGGTGCTGGGGGATTGAACCACGGTCCCTGTGCTTTGCCAAGCTTGTTCCAAGTAGGTGTTTTAGACCACTGAGCCATCTCGCCAGCCCCTTTGCCGGGGTGTGTGTGGGGCGGTGTTAAAAAAAAAAAAAAAAAAGCAGTTAAGAAAAACGAAAGAAGGGGCTGGGAGATGGTTCAGTGGAATAAGCGCTTCCCTGGCAAGCAAAAGGGCCTGAGTTCTATCCCCAGTTCCGCAAAAAAAAAGAAAAAAACCAAAAAGAAAAACGAAAGAAATGGACACTTCTGGCACGACGCTGAGAAACCATCCGTTCCCACTACAGCGTTTCTAGAACGTTTCTCGAGTTGCGGAGATGGGAAAGAACACGAACCCTACGCGCATGCGCAGACCTGCCCTGGCCTTGGGCGGGGCTCCGCGAAGGGGCGGGGCCTTGCCTGGCGGCTGCAGCAGCGTAGCTCCGCCCTCCGCGTTGGCGCGCGATTCAAAAGGCAGGGAGGTGGTTGTGTGGATTCCCCGAGGCTCTCCTGTGGTTCCCTGACCCCGCTAGGCCTTAGGCTCTGTCTCCTCAGCGCCCATGAAACGGAGAGGCCCTGAGGAGGACGCGTGCGGCGTGTGGCTGGACGCGGCGGCGCTGAAGAGGCAGAAAGTGCAGGTGGGTCTGTGTGAAGGGACTGGGTAAAATGGCGGCCGAGAAAGGACTGCTGAGGGCGCTCGCCAGCGAAAGGGGTTTGGGTCTGAAGGAGAAACTGGGATGTGGAGAGGAAAGAGAGGCGTAAACGGCCGGAAGGAGCGGGCTTTGCATTGCGGATCGAACCCAGGCCTTCGCACTGAGCGATATCAGCATCCCTTTTTTTTATTTTGAGGCAGGGTCTCGCAAAGTTGGCCAGGCCGGGCTCAAACTTGTGAGCTTTGTGCCTCAGCCTCTCAGGGTACTGGGATTGCGGGTGGGTGGCACCACACCGGATGTAAGCAATTACAGGGTAGCAAATTGAGATGATTTAGGTGAAATGGGAGGATTCTTAGAAAGTCACAGGTTACTAAAAATTAAACTTGAGAAACAATCTAAATAGACCTCTCACAGAGATTGGTAATTTTAATTAATTAATTTATTTATTTATTGGCAGAACTGGGGATTGAACTCAGGCCCTTACACTTGCCAGGCAAGCGCTTATTCTACTGAGCCATCTCCCTGGCCCCTGTAATTTTAAAACTTACTGCGAAGAAGAGCGCAGGTCCAGATAGCTTCACTGATGAATTCCACCAAATATTTAAAGCATTAATACAAATCCTACACAAACTCTTCCCAAAAAATAGAAGAGGAGAACCTATTTTCCCATTCATTCTGAGGCCATTGTTTCCCTGGTATCAAAGCCAGACCTAGGCATCGCAAGAAAACTTATGACCCAGTATCCTTTATGAAAACAGATTTGAAAAATACTGAGCAAAGCTGGGTATGGTGGTGCCTGCCTGTTATCCCAGCTCTTGGGACACTGAGGCAGAAGGATTGCTGTGAGTTTGAGGCTACCCTGGGCTACACAATGAATTCAAGACCTGAACTACATAGCAAGACCCTGTCTGGAAAAAAAAAAAAAAGGATTAAGTAAGTGGCTAGTGGTAAAGTGCTTGCCTAATATGTGCAAAGCCCTGGTTTCCATCCTCAGCACTGCAAAAGAAGAAAATAAACAAAAACAAACTATGAGAAAGTCTAGCAACACAAAAACCTGAAACATTGTCTCAAAAAAAAAAAAGGAAAACAAAAAAGCAAGAGCAATTTTCTCAAATATTCTTCAAAGGTAAGGTGTTTTTTTTTTTTGTGGGGGGAAGTTAAGACAGAGTCTTGCTATGTAGTTCTGGCTGGTCTTGAACTCAATGTATAGCTCAGGCTGGCCTCCAACTTACTAACCCTCCTGCCTCAGCCTCCTAAGTGCTAGGATAGGTGTGCACCACCACAGCCAGCTAAGGTTGGTTTAAATTTGAAGATTAATGTGATATATTAATATAGATTTTGTTGGGTGATAAATAGCAAGTTCATAAAAGTTCTGTAGATCTGGAGAGTTCTGAAGCAAATTTTGGACTTATACAGCTATATGTTACCTAATGACAGGCCTATGTTGAGTTGTTTTGTAAACATATTAAGAGTATATGCATATAAACCTAAATGATATAGTCACTCACTCTGTGACCTCTTGATGGAATCTAGAGATAGGTAAACACAAAATGTATTAGGTTTCTGCTAGTGTGACCTGGCATACTATTTTAAAGTGTTTATGAGTAGGAGTATAGTAACACTAAAATGTATTAATACATAAACCAGTAACATTGATTATCATGAGGTATTAATGTATTTTACAGTTACATATAGTACATAATACCTCATGATAATAAGCCATCTATATATTTTATTTGGTACAGGGTCTCATTATGCAGCTCGGGCTTATAAAGTGATCCTCCTGTCTTAGCCTTCCAAGCACTGAGATTACAGGGGTGTGCCACTACGCCTGGTTTTGGTGGCCTGCTCAGTGTGGGGCCAGCATGGCTTGCAGTACTGGGGATTGAACCATGGGTCCTTGTGCTTGCTAGGCAGGCACTTAGGCCGCGGAGCTATCTCCCCAGCCCTACAGCGTAATTTTTTTTTTTTTTAACATTTATTTGTGTGTGTGTGTGTGTGTGTGGCCAGCTCAGCCCACCAGGGGGTGGGGCTGGCTGGCATGTGGTGCTGGAGGATCGAACCACGGTCCCTGTGCTTTGCCAAGCTTGTTCCAAGTAGGTGCTTTAGACCACTGAGCCATCTCTCCAGCCCCCTACAGCGTACTTTTGTAGTGTTCTGTTTACATCAACATCAACACAGATATGTGAATAGCCAGGGAGATAGCTCAGTGGCATAAGCATCTGCCTGGCAAACAGATAGTCCGGAATTTGATCTCTGGTACACCCCCCCCACACACACACAGAGATGAATAATGTGTTGTACTCCAATGTTATGGCTATAATACCCTTCTGAGCCTAGTGACTATACGGTTACTAATTCAACAAGGGAGATTTAAGAGATGTCCAATGATGACAGTCCTGACAGCCTTTCTTGTCAGACTCCTTGAACCGTCCTCCTTGGGTATGCTCATGTAGCTCACCGTTTCCACCAAACTTCATAAGGCATGGCAGTGCCGATTAGATTTTCCATCGTAAATGTCATCATTAGTAGTGTGAAGAACTAAAAAGCAAAAGGGGACTTGGTGGTGATGCTGTCAGTGAGTCTGGAAGTGGGAAGAAAATGAGCCTTGCAAAGCATAGATGACAGTCCCTGGCTGGCTGTGCCAGCCCCACCCCCAGGGTGCCTGTAATCCCAGCGCTTGGGAGGCTGAAAACAGGAGGATCACTACAAGTCTGATCTTCCTAGTGAGACCCTCTAGAACCTGTAGACCCTGTCCTAAATACATTTAAAAAAAAAAACAACAAAAACTCATGCAGGACAGAGTGGCATGGCAGTCTCTAGGAAACAGCACTTTAATGTTTTCAAGCCATATCAGTGTGTGTGGAAAATGTGACTTCATATACAAATTCAAGAACAAAGTGACCATTATGAAAAAAAAAAGGAAGTTATATACTAGTCTCATCACTTATTACTTTTTGGCCAAGATCAAGTGCAAATTATGTACTGTTTTTTTTGAGTCATGGTCTTGCTATGTGGTTCCTCCCCTGGCCTCAGATTTGTGGCTATCCTTTTCCCCCAGCCTCCTAAGTGCTGGGATTACAGACGTGTGCTACCATCCCTGGTTCTTAAGCGCGTTCATACAGGGTAGGAATTGTTAAGTCTGGGTTAGTGCTTACTAAGGACTTTGATAGGTAGGCTTTCTTGTACTCTGTAGTGTCCACACAGAGGCTGCTTTATATTGAGGTAGGGATAATCAGCCAAAGATCCGGATCCATCCAGGTGATCTGTTCTCTCGCAGAGTCTCAACATTCCACTGAGGTAAATGTAGATCCCTAAAGGCATAGGTGTTCTAACCGAGCTGTAACTGGGGCAGTATCACTTCTAACATCATTTTGACTTCAGAAAGGACCTTCGTTCAACTCCTGCTAAGTATGGCTAACTTGATAAGTTTTATTTTCAGATATTCTGCCAATCAAGGTCTTTTTGGTTACCTGTAGTTTTCTAAAAAAAAACACAGGATTTGATATTATTGTAGAACTTTATTAATAGTATGTCTGTTTTTTTTCCTCTTTTTTTTGTATTTTAGTACAGGGTCTACAAGGGTTCTACAGGGTCCCACTACACAGATCAGACTTGTAGTGATTCTCCTGTTTTCAGCCTTCCAAGGGCTGGGATTACAGGTGTGTGCCACCACGCTCAGTGTCATTCGATGTGTCCCAGGGGTGGGTCCGGCTCAGCAGGCCAGGATCGAACCTGACCGAGCATCTGCCTAAGCAGGCACTTTAATCCAGTGAGCTATCTGGCTGGCCCTGTTTTCTCTGTTTGTTGTTTTGTTTCGCTTTTTGTATTTTTTAGGGAAGGGTCTACAGGGTGTTCAGGGTCTCACTACTAGAACAGAGTTGTGTTGATCCGCCTGTTTACAGCTTCCCAAGAGTTGGGATTACAGGCATGCGCCACGATGCTTAGTCTCAACTGCCATCTCAGCATGCCCGGGGGTCGAACCCCTGGCCCCTGCGCCACCTTGCAGGCTCTTTAATCCCCTGAGCTATTTGGCTGGTCCTTGTTTTCTCTGTTTAGTTGCAAACTTTTCCAGGGGCAGAAACAGTCCGTTTTGTTCACTATATTTCTAGTACCTAGCATATAGGTACTTAAATATGATTCACATTATTTCACATATTTGTGATCTGGGTCCCATAACATTTAAAGAGCTGTGTGCCAGCTTGGCTTCCTCATAGTGTACAGGCCATGTCCCATAAGTAAATATCTCAAGAGAGTAAGATGAGTGCATAGCATGTTTATGACCCAGTTTTGGAAATCATGTAGTGTTACTTTCATACTATGCTGGTCAGAGTGGTCTCCAGGTTCTTCCCCAACCTCAAAGTGAGAGAATATGGACTTTTCTACTTGATGAGAAAAGTATATTAAGTTATAAAGAGGATTGTCCAGTAGGAAGGCTATTTTTTTTTTTTTTTTTGGTGGAACCAGGGATTGAACTCAGGCCTTTGAAGCGCTTATTCCACTGAGCCATCTCCCCGGCCCCTATATATATCCTTTTGATCGCAGAGTTTGACTATTCAGTTTCTGATTCTCTGCTTCACTTTGGATGGTTTGTGTTGCTGTCTTGAGGATCAATTATATTTTGTCCCCCCCCCAGGCAGTCTCTATTGTTAAGCCTGTCTAGTGAATTTTCTTCAGTTTTCCTTAGGTTCATTTTTCCCCTTTAAAATCCTTGAACATATTCATAGTAATTATTTTAACTATGAACCTATGTGCTAATCCTGTTATTCCAGAGGTTGTTTCAGCCTGCTTATAACTGGTTCTTCTCTAATTGTAGACTTTTGTTGTTGTTGTTTCTTGTCTAGCAATTTTTCATTCCATGCTAAGGCCCCATGAATGTTATATTGTTGAGTTTTTGGATTTTCTTTAAATAATACTGAAAATTATTTGGGCAAATAATTACTTGCTAATCGGCTTAACATATTCAAAATGTTCTTGTAAGCTTTGTTAAGAAAGTTTGGAAAAGCTTTTGCTCTAAGGCTAGTTAAGGCCAACTACCAAGGGATGATTCTTTGAGAGCTCTGTGGACTGCCCCTGGGGTTTAAGGCCATCTCTGTTCTAGGTGGTAGGAACTCATGTCCCAGTCTTGCATTAGCTCTGGGAACTGTTCAGCTTGCAATTCCAGCTTGCAGTGTCTTCTTTGCCTGCCTTGAGGGGTTTCATCTTCAGTGATTGAAGGGGCCTGTGTGCGTATTTTTGGAGGTCTTCGAGTTGTAAGTTCCAGCTACCACAGTTTTCCCAAATCCCAGTCTCAATCTACTCAATTCATTAAGATTAGGGTCAGGGGAGATAGCTCAGTAGAATAAGCGCTTGCCTGGCAAGTGCAGGGTCCTGAGTTCAATCCCCAGTACCTTAAAAAAAAAAAAGTTTACCTCATGATCAATTCATTAAGATTGCACTGGCCTGGAAAGTGCTTCCAGGCAGAAATTCAGGCTGAACACAGCACTCACCCTCTTTTCTCAGGAATCACAGATTACTGTCTGTTGTCCATTGTGCACTGTTTAAAAACCTTTTAAAAATTTTTAAATCATTTTAGGAGGTTGAGGCAGAAGGATTGCCTGTGAGCTTGAGGCCAGCTGGAACTGCATAGGGAAACCATATCTCAAAAATATCAAGAATACTCAGCAGACTAAGTGCCTGCTGAAGCAAGCACAGGGACCAGGGTTCAATCCCTGGTACTGCATACCTTGCTGGCTCTGCCCTTGGGCAATCTGAGCCAGTAACCAAGTCCAGGTGTGGTAGCACACACCTGTAATCCCAGCACTGGGGAGGCTGAAAACTGGAGGATCACTAGGAGTCCGATTTGCGTAGTGAGACCTTGTACCAAATACATTTAAAAAAAAAGAAAAAAGATCAAAAATAAAAATGTGTCTTTTTAGCCAGGGATTGAACTCAGGCCCTTGCGCTTGCCAGGGAAGCGCTTATTCCACTGAGCCATCCCCCGGCCCCCAAAAATGTGTCTTTGGTTGTTTTCTAACTAGTTGAATGTGGTAGATGGAAAAGTTCCCTACTAATACTATAAGAAGTTGAAATAAGAGTTTTACATACAGTATTTCCTATTTCAAAAAACAAAACAAAAGATTACACAGCTTAGTTTCCAAATATAAAAATGAAATGAAGTCAGCTTCATCTGGATTCCAGTTTCAGCGTTCCTCTAACTTGCAGTTATCAATACTGACAAATCCCATTTCTTTGTGGCAATTATAGCCAAGCCAAATTCAGCCAAATACAGTCCTACTTTCCCTACTTCTCAGCCATTTCAAAACAAGCAAATAAAATCAAGTTACAGTAAATAATGATGAGGCTACAGTCTCAGTTGACAAAACAGACTTTTCAGACCTCTTGTGCCCACTTTCCCATTCTGCACTCTAGTATTTTAGGCTTGTGATCCAAGTGTGGCAAAACTGGTGCTGCTCCATTATTCAGCCAGCTGTTTCGGAGCACTTTCAGTGTGCAGGAACTGTGAATTTTTCATGTGAATTCAGTAAGTTTTCATAACTCCCCTATGGGATAAAACTTATTACCACCATTTCACACTTAAGAATGAGACAGAAATTAAGTAACTTGTACATAACTAAGGAATAGCAATGGCAAAACTAGCAGTGATGTAAACCCAAGCTGTACTACTCTGGAGGCCATGCTTTTAGCCATTATGTGACCATTTGACAAGTGCTGAAAATCAGTCAACTGTTGGTAATGTAGAATTATTAAGTTTGGCATAGTGCACATCTGCAGTTACTCAGGAAACTGAAGGAGGAGACTTAAGTATAGGAGTTTGAGACCAGCCTAGGCAACTTAATGAGACCCTGTCTCTTCTTAAACAAAACATTACTCTTAAATCTAAATTACATCATTTCTGGACCTCCTTTAACAAATCACATTTGTTCAGTCAGCTTGATTTCTATTGGAAAGCACAAACATTGTGCTATAGTTGGAATAGGTGATTCCTTAGAAAAACACTATCAGGATGGCAATAACTGGTGGAACGCTGATGTCTGGCACAGACTATCTAAAGAAAGAATAGGATATAAATGGAGCCCAGAGTCCAGGGTGTTTTTTTGTCACTGGTATTTATTGAATCTCCCCAGTCTGGCAACTCATTTAATATAGATTCTCTCATTCTTTTTCTCCCTCTTCTCAGACACGTTTAATTACACCAGGTGCCAAAATGCTAACACTCCTTCCTCGAGAAAGAAAGCCTACTATTTCTTTCACTCAAAGAAGAATTCCATCTTTGGGCATTAAACAGACCAGTATTGCTTCCTTCTTCACCTTGAAGCCAGGTATGGTGACCCCCCTGGGAGTCCTTCATTGTCCAGGGAGCAAAATTCATGTCTTCATGTTGGAACATTTATGAGATATAGTGAAACCATTGTATTGTTAAACCTAACTGACCTATTGTGTTACGGAAACACAGGAAGTCATTGCTTTTTGGAAAGTGATGTACACATGCTTTTACAAACATACATTTCTAGTTCTGTTTCACTCAGTCTAGTGCTAAATATTTGTATTTGCTGAGGAAAGGTGATTTGGGAGCTGTCTCAGAGGAGGCTAGTTTACAGAGCAGGGTTCCTGCCAGTTGGAGAGCACTGGGAGGAGTGCTCTGACTCAGGCTGGCTTTGTATAAACCTTCAACTCCCCAGATAAAACATAAATTCTTTTTTTTTTTTTTTTTTTTGGCGGAACCGGGGATTGAACTCAGGCCCTTGCGCTTGCCAGGGAAGCGCTTATTCCACTGAGCCATCTCCCCGGCCCCATAAATTCTCTTTGCTTTACGTAATGGGAGGAATTTTTTCAAAATACATTTCCCATTTACATATTGATATATTTTATTAATACTGAATTTTTAGGCAAAGTTGAGAACTCCCACAGAACAGTTTCTGCAGTATAATTCTTGTTGAAGAAGAGGAAATTAATCATTCTGATTCTTTGTAATTAAGTCTTACTTGATTTGAGTGGAGTGGGAATCCCATGTAATTCATCCTTAATGCAGCACAGGATCTATTCAGTGCTTGATAAGATGGACACGCTAGACACTAATAGTTATTTTCAATATTATTATCTTTTCAGGTTGCCTTGGCATCATAATTATGTATTTGCTCCATTTCCTGTGAAATTTTTGAGGAGCTAGAAACCTATATTTTTCATACTGTCACCAGAAGATTTCAGAGTTGTATAGTTAATGTGACTCTTGAGACCTCATAAAACTAGCGTGTTGAACATTTTTTTAAGGAAAGTATTTACGACTATGTATTGGCCATGATTACTATTTAGTAGAAATTATAATCAATAAAAAACAAGCTAAACTAGGGCTGGTGAGATAGCTCAGTGGCCTAAAGCACCAGGCAAACATAGGCAGGCGCAGGGGACTGTGGTTTGATCCCTGGCACCCCATGCTGCACCAGCCCCTCAGGGTGGCCTGAGCCGGCCAAAACAACACCAAAATAAACTGATGTTCCCGTTAAGCACATAAATGAAAACTAAGCTGGAAAAGTAAGCCAGTCTGATGGTATGCCATATTTGACTTTATTAGGTAGAGGTAGGTCATGGGAAGTGCCCATATATAGCATTTCATTAGGGGAATACCAGATCTTAATTTAGAAAGAGCATTCAGGAACGAAGTGACACTGAAAGGAGCTACAAAGTTATTTGAAAAATCTTAAGTAGTCCTATGCTAGGTAGTAGTATTAGCTGGTATTTTTTTTTTTTTTTTCTTTTTTGCGGAACCAGGGATTGAACTCAGGCCCTTGCTCTTGCCAGGGAAGCCTATATTCCACTGAGCCATCTCCCCGGCCCTATTAGCTGGTATTGACTTTAGAAAAAACCAACTATTTTATTACATTGTAATATTTAACCACTTCTATTTTACTAGGAATGAGAGATATTGGTAACCAGAGAAATATTTCATCTTATACAGAAGGTCAAATCAACAAACAGTCCAAGAAAGATGCAACTCAGCTAGACTGTTTGATTCGGGACTCAGAAGATGACTGCATAGCTTCCCCTCTGGCCACTTCAACCCCTGAAGGCATCGAGGAAACTGGACTTTCTCCTAAGTCCCACAAGACTTTGGGCCATCCCAGTGTGAGAACACCTTGTTTGACCATATTGTCTTTGCCTCAACCTAATACCCCAGCTTGTGCTGGAGACAGTAAAGCCCCACTGCCTTTTTCCTTCACTGAGGATATGGAAAGTTCTTGTTTGCTGGACCAAAAGGAGGATTCTTCCAGGAAAAGGGAATGGTTTTACGGATCTGAGAAGCACTGTCAGGACATGGAGAGACACATCAAACCACTTGGGGGCGAGTGCCATCAGCTCTTGGACAAAGCTAAATCAGAAAGGAAAGTGTCTGCCAAAGAAAATAGGCAGCATTCCATGCACCTGGAGACTTCCAGGGAATCCTGGAGCAGAGAAAACACAGAGTCAGTGAAACAAAACCCTTGTCTTGTTTCTTTGTTTTCCTGGGGTAGTGAAAAGAATGACAAAGAATCCTGGAGTCAGCTTTTCACGGAAGATTCTCAGGGCCAAAGAGTCATTGCCCACAACACTAGAGCTCCTTTCCAAGATGTAAGCAACACCTGGCATCACAGCCTAGGGTATTTTCCAGCCAGGCCTTGGGCTGAATGCCAGGCTGAGCATACTCAGTTAAGTCTGCAGCCTGATTTGCTCCTTACCCAGGACTCTGAAGGTAATCAAGTTATCAGGCACCAATTTTGAATGTTTATATGAAGGTTTGGTTCCGGGAGCATCTTGAAATGGAAGAATGTAGGAAAATATGTTCCAGGTGGAGGTGGGGGCTGAGGTGGGAAGGCAGCATGGGATTAAGCTGTCATTATCTAGCACTTTATGTAAATAAAGCTGGCAGCTGCCACTGGTTGAAACTGTGACTGGAATCATGCTTTTCCCTTAGGAAGGTGGCTGGTGAATTTCTTAAATGAGTCTGCGATGAGTACTGTGGAGGCAGGGCATGAACTTACCCCTTTACTTAACAGTCCATTCTGCCTGTACAGAGACCCCTCTGCCTTTTCATATGCCTGCCTGGGTCCTTGCTTCTTTTCATCTCTGGCTGAAATCTTACCCACTTACCTAAGCTTGGAATCATTATTCCTCATGCCATTTTGAGAGATAAGGCAAATTCCCCAACCCAAATGTATATAGAGCTGGGGATAGGAGAGGAAATGGAAAATGGTGATAACCTCATTTTTAAATTTAATTTAATTTTAGTGGTAACTGTACAGCATTTTAAACATACACTTTAAATATCTCTCCCTTTAGGCCAGCGACTTGGGACTAAGCACTTGCTTAGGCAAGCCTGGGGTTCAATCCCTGGTACTGCATACCCGCCCCTGAGTGCACTGAGCTGGCCACTGAGTCCAAGCATGGTGGTACGTGCCTGTAATCCCAGTGCTGGGGAGGCTGAAAACAGGAGGATCACTAGGAGTTTGAGCTCTGTAGAGACCCTGTACCAAAGACATGAATTTTTAAAAGATAAATTAATACCTCTCCTTTAAAACTCCTGAGCAATAAAACAATGTAGATGTGACTACTAATTTTTCCTTCACAAGGTGAAAGGTAACTTGTCCCCCCTTTCTGGGAGGAAATCCCCTTTGTAAAACCTGTTAACATCTGTAAGGCTGGCTCTAGTGGTAATAAGAACATTGCCAATTTTATTTTCAAAAAAGTAACTTATTAATATATGTTGTGTCACTGCTATCGGTTCCTAACCTGCACAGGCGTCTATTTGGCCTGTGGCCTATCCAGGGCATCATCCAACAGGTGCAGTTTCTCAAGTTGCAGGTATGGTACCCAGGGCTTAACCTCTAGGGGACAAACTTGCAAATTATAAGATGGAACTGCTTTTAAGAGTTTTGAAAAAAAAAAGTTTGGGGCAGAATCTCTTCAGAAACCCCCTGGGAAGTTTTTTTCTTATTAAGTGGCAGGACCTTATAAAAGAAGGGAGGAAGCCAGAAACCTGTTTAAGAAAGTTCATTACCTTAATTTCACAAGAATCCACTACTCCTAAAGGATTCAGGGTGACCACAACTCAGAAATGGACAAAGAAAATTTCTCCAAATCCTTCATTTAATGCCAGGTAGTATTTCAACCCAAATACACACTGTATACATACCACGGAGAAAGGGGCCCCGAGGGCATGTGAGTCATGCATGATGCAGTAGGTGCAAACCTTGGCCCAACCCAAAAGAACAGTTAGTCCAGGGCCTGGAAGAAGGATGGTATGTTCTTTCCCCTCCTCGCTTCTCTTTCCTACTGGACTTAAACTAAAGTCCATGGAAGAAAAAGTTTTTAATCAGTGGATCTGATGAGGCTCCAAGGCCTTGGAGGGTAGATTTGGTTGTACAGTATTATAAAATATGCTTCAGAAAAAAACAAGCCTCCCAGTTGCAGCCCAAGTACTGGCTGGTCCAGCTGCCGACCTCTCCAACTAGACAGGGAAGGGTGACAGCTGGGCACTGGTGCAGGTTATGATGGAGCAGCATAAGATAGTTCTGCCTTGTGAACATGTATATAAACAGTCCTTTCCCTAAAGCCCTGCTGTGCTACAAGGAAGCTGCTGACAGTGAGTGACAGCTGCACACAAAGTGTCTGGTGAGACAAGTTATGGGATCTAATGCAGTGAAGTCATTCCTTCATTTTAGGACCTATTTTCACATGGGGGCAAGAGAATATAAGAAACATCTATCTTACCCCATAAATTAAGCCACTCTACACAATTACCTGCAACAAATGTCTCAGCTCAAACCACAGGCCTTAGCTTCTACTAAGGTTTGAAGTATGGAAACACATAATCCGGCTCTTCTTCCAAGCTCTAGCTTGTCAGCAAGACTTGCAGAAGATTCCTAACTGAGAGGCAGAAACATCTGCGGTGAGGAAGGCAGCTACTGAAGAAATTCCAGGAGCGTGAGACTGTTTGCAGGGTGGAGTGCTCTCAGTTTCCTTTTCTACTGATATCTTCTTCCTTCAGAGCAAACTTCCTTCTTAGGACTTCAGAAATAAGCACAGCAGGGTCTTCTTCTTTCATTAAACTCCGGGTCCTGGAGACAAAACAATAGTTTCTATTTAGGAAGTACTTGCTTGGGCCAGGCAGCACTCTGCATCTGCATATACTGTCTACTGAATCCTTACAACCATCTTTTGAGATAGGTATTACAGTGTAGACCCTCTTACCGATAGCTAACTAAAGCACAAAAAGACATGCAGTTTGCCTAGAGTTACTAGCCACTCACAAAGTAAATTAAGTGGTGAATCCAGACTTTAAAACCAAGATAGCTGGTTCCAGATCTCCTAACTAGAATGTTTTACTACATCCTCTAGTGGCCATAAGTGTGGGCTAAATAAAGGTCCATCAACTTATTGGAGCTGGCCTGTAGTGGCTACACTTCTGTTCCCATTTTCTGAGTCTGTCTTTTCTTAGCAGCACTTTCTTGTAGCATTTGCAGGGGAAGAGACTAAATGACTCTTGGCCATTCTGCTGTGCCACACATGCCATAGGCTCGCCGTCACTGCTTTTGACAGTAACTGAGGACCCAGACTGACTATCAAACCCTCAAACTAGAATCAAGGAATTGTCCGTGGCCTATTAACATTTCTGAACCTTTGCTCACTGGGCTGTTACATTTTTAGTCATTGCCACAACTTCTCTCTTATAAGGCAGACTAGATCTCACACTACAAGTGGGAGGGAGGAGGGGCTTGGCAGTAAGGATCTTGGACAGTTTGGTTTACTTAGAGGCAAGTAAAAAATCTAAGAGTCAATCTATAAAACACTGTCACCAGAAGAAATATACTCAAGACAGAGCTAAAGAAGCAGCAGTAGCTGAATTTGGGGGTACAAGGTCAGTATGACTAACTTGGTTTGGGCTAGAGAGAGTACATGTAATTTACCTAAAAGATAACCACCAGGAGGCTGTAAGTTGCTGCCCCTTGTCTAGTTTTCAGAGGCTAGTAAGGTCCGGAAGTCAAAAATGAAACATTGTACAATGTCATCTTCCCTTCAGGAGGAACTTTATCAGTTCTGGAGCTAGATCTTACCTCTAAGCCCTCCAACAACTTTCCCTGCATTAACAGATATAGCTGCACCAATTAAGCCTTGGCTATTAGAACCTGGATCTTAAACTGAAATGTCCAACGATCTGTATTTGAATAAGCTCCCAGGTAAGCTCCAAGGAAGCTGCTCAGACCACACTTGGAGAAACACTGCCAGGGCTTTCCTGCTGAATGAGTTTCTTTTTTTTTTGCTCTGAATGCCTTCAGGGCAGGTTTGGCTGGCTTGAGTTGTGGGGATTGAACCACAGAAACCTGAGCCTGACAGCTTTGTTTAAGCAGTCACTTAAAGAACTGAGCTAAGGGGCAGGCCCCTGCTAGATGAGTTTCTTGCTGCAGGCCTCCCCAAATTCCCTCACAGTTCAATATAAATGGTTAAAGCTCTATTTCCTGGGGACTCTGCTTAAGGTTTTTGTTGTTGTTGTTGTGGTATCAGGGATTGAACTTGAGCTTATGCTGTTGAGTTATCTCCCCAGCCCTTTAAGATGTACTTTTAACAAATGTGAGCAATTCTGAAGGGCAGCCAGGTTAAGGAACTACTTATGAATTTCAAAAGCTTTGTCCTCAAATCTCTTAATTTGTGGGATTTTGCATTACGGACCACCTTATGAAATTCTCCTTCCACCAAAACCACCAGAGATGTAAGTTGGAATAGATGAGTCTTCTTGTAAAATCCCCACTACTCTTAACTTTTGGCTTGGGTGATTGAACCTAATAAATGTAAAGTGTTGTTCAGGTAGGGGGCACAGGCTCTAGCAAGCAGGTAGTTGGCAAACTCTGAACAAAGTAACATATGGCTACTCCTGGGAATTTACTAAGTTTGCTAGATCATTGGCCATGGGTAACTTTAAATCACCAGAGCTCCTTGTCAGTACTTACAGATCTTGGCTCTGTTTTATCCGGTGAAAGTCTTTCAGGATACCCATCATATCTGCAAAGCTGCTGGCCTTGGACAGAGAGATGCAGTCATCCTCTTCTGACGAGCTGCAGGTAGCTTTGTGTTCTGATTTACAACATTCAGGGCTGGCAGAACAAAGCAGGGGGACTGATGGAAGCTCAGGGACCTCTACCTCAGTCTCCTCGGTGATGTCACTAATGACAAAGGAAGTTGTAGAGTGGAATGAGGATCCAAAACAAGGTAAGGGAGAAGAGACATTTGAACTTCCTGGAGATAAGAAATCTGGCGTTAATGAAGTCGAAGCTGAAAGAGAAAACAATAGGCATGGATGGGCTAGAGTTTAGCAGTGATATCACCTTCCCACAAGCACTGCCTACAGAACACACTCATTTCCTGGCCTGATCACATGACATTCCGGGAGAGCCCAGGATGGTTATCTCTAGCCAGTGTAGCCCCTCTACTATCTTTCCCAGTCAGGGATGGAGCACTGGGCTTTTCCATGTTTCAGAAGAGTCAAAGAAATCATCCCATAAAAGTTTTGGCTCCTAAAAGCTCCTATTTCAAAGTGGGCAATGGAGTGACAGCCCTGTTGTAAACAAGCAACAGTGACAGAGACAAGTTCTACAATTTGTCCTTTTCTCTTAGACAGCACTTTTTTTTCTTTTTTGGTGGAACCGGGGATTGAACTCAGGCCCTTGCACTTGCCAGGCAAGCACTTATTCTACTGAGCTATCTTCCCGGCCCTAAGATAGCACTTTTAAGTCTCTGGATGTTGCTATCTATAATCTAGAAATATTGTGAGCAAAACTAAGATGTTGAGGCCCTCCTAGTTTCCCAAATTTTTTGGAGAGAATTTCTACAATTTCTAAGAAACATTCTGAGTTTATATAAACTACTTCTGTTTGTCTCTTGGATGACAAAAAAAGAAAAAGAAAAAAGAAAAAATTAAGTGCAGTTAATTTCCATAATAGAGAATTAAGAATGTGATGATTTCAGGGCTGTAGCTCAATGGCATAAGCGCCTGCCTTGCAAGCACAAGGTCCCAATTTGATCCTCTTGTTCCGCAAAACAAACAAACAAACAGCAAAAAAAGTGATGATTTCAAAGAGAACACTAAGATATTTATGCTCCACCAACTGGCGAGGTTTGGGAGCTATGACTTTGAGGTGTTGAGCATGTTGGGAGAGATCCATCTGTTGGCTGCCTCTGTTCAAGGCAGGCTCATAATCATTCCTAGTGGTTCTGCTTTAATCCAAGCAGAAAGTTGGAGGACAGAAGTGATCTCCAACAGAAAGAACAAGGAAAGGGAAGTACTGGAAAGAGATATATGTCTTGTGGTGGTAGTGGTGAGAAATGCTTACACTGAAAAAGAAAGCTGTCACAGGCTCACAGAATATGGAACCTTACAGATACCAGGAAGAAGGCACTGGTCTTTGTGACTAAGGGAAGGAATCTGCCTGGGGCGACAGGCTAAGTCAGGATTTGTTCTCAGCTAAACCACTGAGCCCAAAATGAAATTACTCAAGAACACTACAGGTTAGCTGGGTCTCAGGACACCCTGAGCCCTGGACCAAAGTCTTTCTGAATCAAGGACCATCATTTCCCTTATCTATCCCGTTTAAAAGCTAGGGGTATGGGGCTGGGGAGATGGCTCAGTGGAATAAGTGCTACCCTGGCAAATGCAAGGGCCTGAGTTCAATCCCCGGTTGGGCATCCTACCTGCATCAGCTGCCACTATCTTGGCAATCTGGCTGCGCAAGTGGCTCAGCTCATCCTGCAGCTCGGTGGTACGGCTTAGGGCTGGCAAGGCTGGCTTCTTTAGGGCAAGAAGCCTCTCTTCAGATCCACGCAGGTTGGGCACTGAGGCATTGCGCTGCATGACAATCAGAGGGCTGGGCTTCCAGGTATGCCTCAGGGGGCGGGTGTCACTTCTAAACCAGAGAAAGACCGATATGTCCATCACAGAGAGCAGGCCATTTGCCAGTCCTCCCTCCCCCAGTACACAGCTCTCATTCCAATTCCCTCACTTTCTTTGCTGCTTGGTACTTTGGGGAAGAAGTTTTCTATCGTACCCTCTGATAATACCTGACCCGGGCATATGTCTCCTCTTCATCTGCAGCAATCCAGGCAATGTCAGCCAGAGTTGGGACTGGGGGCACATCTCTCAAACACAGGTCAGAGATGTTGGGCAGGGTCTGTGAGGAAGGAAAATTCTGTATTTATTGAGAGTCTTTGGGAACTTGTTTGAGTTACTTTTTTTTTTTTTGGTAATTTTTTTTTTTTAATTTTT